GCGATTAGGATTGTCCATCGTTCGATTGATATCACGATATCAAAGTCGACAATTTTTAATTATCAGAATGATTAAAATGGCCCGATTCGTAATTTTTCCTCGAAACTTTTATGTTATACTTGCTACAACAGGTTGATTGTTTCTCGAGACTTATTTTTTCTCGAGACTTATTTTTTCTGCACATAATGTACAAATAAAAGCTTGTCAACTTTATCGTGAAGCTTTTTCCTATTTTAATGCCTCCGCGCTTTAATGCCTCCTGGTATAAATTTTTGTGCTTTCAGTCGTCGGAAATTGCAGTTTTAAAGCTTCCAAACAGCAAAAATGCTAACGAACATTTTATTCTAATTTTGACGTGTTATCAGTTGTTTTCTATTTATTTTGTTTAACCATCTGGTATTATAATATGTACATATATAGTATTTTAATTATAGTATAATATATAATATATTATATATATAGTATTATAAATAAATATATTATATATATATTATATATATATAAAATATATAGTATTATAATATATTATATATAGTGTATTATACATTATAAAATATAGTATAATATATTATAATACATAGTATAATATATAATATATTATATAATATTATACTATCCAAAAGTAAAATTTTTTAAGTTTTCGGTAAAACAAAGCTAACAGACATTTCACTCTAATTTTGATGTACTAAATAAAATTTTAATCCCAGCTATCGAATAAATATCAAGCCAAGTAAAAATTTAAGACGAACAAGAATTTGATATAAGATATTCTTACAGTAATTTTCATCTCGAGAAAAATTAATTTACATCGTCTTATTTCGTTTGGAAAAAACTTTAAATTCTTATGGTTTCTCACGCGTTCTCGTTTTGATAAACAGAAAGATTTTCTAATCTTTCTAAGGAATACATTCGTGATAACATTTGGCGAATAAAATAAACTATTCAAGTTCTGTTTCTTTAATTTAGGTGTCCACGAAAGTTCTAATTTGCAGTCTAATTATCCAGTTATTTGGAAAATTCGCGAAATTAAAAAAATACACTTGTGATGTAAAAATTGCCAAATAATATATACATACATACTGTTTCCCCTGGCGTATTTACTATAACTCTTCGCTGCTTATCATGCGGCTTTATGACCGAGAATTTCTCAAGAAACTTCTCGTTCCTCTCAGCGACGAATTCTTTGAGGCAGGTTTTGCAATCTTTTAGGGCATACAGTTTCTTGTCATCAGAGAAAGTAAAGTGAAGAGCAGAATAAATGACAGTCGGACAATGAATAGGTGGAATGAGGTTGAAGATTCCAACCAAGGTCCAACACATATTTCCTAGCTTTCTCTAAATGCACAAAAAGTCATACATTGTAAAAAAAAAAGAGAACCAAGCATTTTTAATTTTTAAAGATCCCAGATTTTTCTCTTTAACTGCTATGTTTAATATCCAATTTATACGTAAATTCACCGTTTGAATGAAGAGAATTTTTCAATCTTGTCTATCAAAAATAATAATAATAATAACCCTTTTATCAAAAATATAATTGATTGAATCCTTTTGTCAGAAATGCACATATCACGAAAGAAGTAAATTTTTAAAGAAGAAAAAAGATGAAAGAAATGAGACATCGAAAACATACGAAACGTGAACATACGAAAACATGATAATTTTAAAATAATAATACTAGCTAGTTGCATACTCTGACATAAAAATCAAAAAATAAACTCTTCTCGCATGATCATAACATATTATATATGGAGAAACTCACTGAAACCTTGGACCAATGCGACTATTTTTTACCAAAAAAATAATAATCAGGAAATCACCCTGTTGCAAAAGATCAGTCCCGAATTTTATTCCCTCGACATAAATATTTCAAAGGGAAATTGCTTTTCGACAAATAATTTAACCTTCCGTCAACCACTTGCGCTGGCAACTGATTGCGGACCATAACGAGTGACCAAACCGTACACAATAATTCGTCGCTTTCTTTTAGAACTCGTCGGTATCGATATCACTGGATAGAAATTACTAAGAAGTAATAAATTTATTATTCGTTTTGCCTGGGTTATATTTAAATATACTTAAAAAACTGAGAAAATATTGCAATTTTGGGAGAAAAAATTCTCGGGAGGTTAACCACTTGCGCTGGCAACTAATTGCGGACCATAACGAGTGACCGAACCGTGTACAATAATTTGTCGCTCTCTTTTTCTTTTGAACTCGTTGGTACGATATCACCGGATAGAAATTATTGAGAAGTAATAAATTTATTATTTGTTTTGCCTGCGTTATACTTAAATATATTTAAAACTGAGAAAATATTGCCAATTTTGTGAGAAAAAATTCTCGACGTGCGTGGCACGTCATTCCAGCGCAAGAGGTTAACCACTGATTGCGGACCATAACGAGTGACCGAATCGTATACAACAATCCGTCGTTTTCTTTTTGAACTCGTCGGTCATCGATATCACTGAATAGAAATTATTGAGAAGTGATGAATTTATTATTTGGTTCGTCTGTTTAATTATACTTAAATATACTTAAAACTGAGAAATAATTGCAATTTTAGGGACAAAATATTCTCGACGTGAGTGGCACGTCGTTATTCCAGCGCAAGAGGTTGACAACTGATTGCGGACCATAACGAGTGACCGAATCGTATACAATAATTTGTCTTCCTTCTGAATTCGTTGGTATGTCACTGAAATAGAAATTGACCGAGAAGCAAATTTATTATTTATTTTGCTGAGTTGTATTCAAATATACTTGAAACTGAGAAAATATTGCCAATTTCGTGAGAAAAAATATTCTCGAACGTGGCAGGTCATTCCAGCGCGAGAGATTAAAAATTAAAAAAGATATAAAATTAAAAGACGAGTCTTTCTTAACTGTCATCGATAAATTATTTCCGATCTCATCGGTGAGGAATCAATCCAGTGCTCTTAAGGATATACGAAAAACCGGATCGGCGATGTTTGGCCGGTCATTGAAACTTCGCTATATCGTGCCGCATGCGTGTGACCCTGTGTATACTCACCTGTGTGCAGATAAACGCGCGTCGAGCCACGCCAGGCGACTGGATATAATACGCGCGCAGGCCGCGCACCGTTCACGAACGCGCCGCACCGACTGAAGCCGCGCCACGCTCGCCGATTGAGCCACAGAAAATCGTTGCACAAGCGCGCGCAACTCGCCTCGTCCTCGAGCTCGTCGTCCCCCGCGATGCCGATGGAAAACTGTCCGCGCTTCCGTTGCTCGGCCGCCAGCCATCCTAAATTTCACCGCAATCGCGGGAATATCGGAACACACGAAAATATTCGAATAATACGAAGGTACGAGCGTGTTCCCAATCGAGCCTCGGATGTTCAAGATTCAGGATGACCCTCTTTCGTTGTAGGAAATTATTACAATTATCTATATCTATATTGTAATAAATTATTATAAGAAATTCTTTTTCATTTGCGATTAAAACGACCGATCGAATGATTTATCGGCTTGGAAATTTGACTTGATGTTCCACGTTTGTTAAAAAATGAAACGAACGTGTCGTTCTCCTTCTCGTCGTCTAAAAGCTATTTCGTGCATTGTCCGATTAATAGGATATTAACAATTGACAATCGTGTGTATTTTTTTCCTGTAAAAAGAAAATTTTATCTCGTAACCGGTCGAAACGATAGGTGTACAAGGTATAAAGTATCGGTACGTTTAGTGTTAGACTACGAATATTTATGGAAATTTTTATTGCCGCGAAAGCGAATAAAAAGGTAGGGAAGAAGAGTAACTGTATTAGTAATTAGATAAAAAATCGTAACTTCGTGAAAGAGGGTCGTACAATTTTCTTAGTCTCGTTTTAAAACGTGAATTCTCTACATTATCCTGAGCCCTGAGCTTGTCTTTTTCATAAAAGTTTTTATTTCTTTTTTTTTTTTTACGTGAAATTAAAGGCCATTTTATTCTCGAAAATTGTACAACTTTCTAACGCCTGTAAGAATATTGAAAAATTCTTTTCGTAACTAAATTTATCGTGCTCTTGAAGATTGAGATCTCTCTTTTATAACGAGCTTCTAAAACACGCTGTACGATTTCTCTTTGTCATTTTATTGAATTTTAAATATTGGGATTAAAAAGAAAAAAATTCAAGAAATCCTGAAACTTCATCGTCTAACCCTAGTGTTCAGATTTGGATTGAGAAAATAACGAGGGAAAATCGTACAGCAAGTTTTACGGGGTCGTTGCAAAAAGAAAATTTCAAATCCTCAAAATCATGGATTCAGTCATCAAAATAAAATTTTTCAGTGTTTTTAGAATCGTTCGCATTTTTACAATTTCAGTTATATTCTTCATTATTAAATAATTATTGTAAAACACGACTGAAACTTATCTTCGTAGCTTGTTCTAGTTTCAACAAATCTTAAAAGGAGACTTCAATCTTGTAGATCATGGTAAATCTAGTTATGAAAAACATTTTAGAGTACGAAGAACAACGCAATGCATAACGAGCTATAAATAAAATAAAATAAAAAGAAAAGTAATTTTTCAATGTGAAACTTTCTTTTTTATATTCCGCAAAAAAAAAAAAAATACTTTTCAGAAATATTTTAAAAATACGTTGGTTGAAACTGAAGAGCAATTGGTACTTTAACCTCTTGCCACGCGCGTTCAGAATTTTTCGTTCCAAAATTGTCAATATTTTCACAGTTTCTAAGTATATTTAATTATAACCCAGGCGAAGCAAATAATAAATTTATCAGCGATATCGTGCCGACGAGTTCAGAAAGAGAGTGACGAATTATTGTGTACGGTGTTGGTCACTCGTTATGGTCCGCAATCGCAGTTGCCAGCGCGAGTGGCCAAAAAATTCAACGACCGCGGATTAAATTTAATAAAAGCACCAATGTTTTAGAAAACAAAACTAAATTCTTTCAGAAGAATGAAGTAAAGAAGTAATAAAAAAAAAAAAAGAAAAAAGTAAAAGGTAATATGATGATTAAGGTGACATCGTAATATTGATAAAATATAATCATATATATTTGCATCGCTCTGTTTTTTAGACATTATATTAATACCTATATTGGATACATCTCTCAACGACGCCGTTTCTCATTAGTCGAACAGGATGAATACTTTCCACAATTCACTCTCAACAATTTGTACTCTAGTAACATAGAATGTACATTCCCGTCATCCTTCTCAGATTTAATCATCTTTTTCTTCTTCTTCGTCTTCTTCTTCTTCACTTTTTATATATCTCTAGTATAATAATATGCACATATAATATGGTGGATGTCACATTATATTACTCAATATTTTTATCGTCGTGTCATACTTTGACAATAAACGATGGAATGAACGAGACGTGTACTGATCAAACGATACGCTCAGTTAATGTAAAACGAATTCTCCTTCCGAATAAGAGTATTGTCTTACCTAATTTATAAGAATTACTATTTCTATGTTCATATTTTCCTGTACAATTTTCGTAGTAGAACTTCAACATTTTTTTTTTTTTTTCTGATATATTAGACCAACTATAATAAATTCGTTCCTCTTTCGGAATTATTCGAAGAAAAAATGTAATAAAGATAGCTGACATTTTCGTTCTTTTAACAGAAGATACATTGCACTCGAACTGACACAATCCTCAAAAAAAATACGATTCCGAGTATTATTGCTGTAAAAATATTACAGAGACAATCGTCGACCAATTACGCAAATCATGTTCGTTGATCTTTATAATTTATTTCACATTGTTCCCTTGCTCTGTTCCGAGTTTTCGTTGCTTTCGAAAAACACATTTTCACTTTCTTCTCCGGGTAAAGGCGCGACACATTTTCTTACAGAAATAAGAAACAAGAAAGATAAATTACTTCTTGCGAACTCTATTACTCATCACCGATAAATTAACTCCGTCTGTATAATAATTTTCGTTGTCAATGAAAAATTTGCAAATGTTGTTACTCTTATCAGAGAAGAGAAAACAGCTGAAACGTTGCCGTTTAATTAATTCTCCGCAATTTTCTAAAAAACACACTCTGTTCAATCGTTGCATTCTGTTTAATGCGTCGTGACATGATTGGAGTTCCTTCGTTTATTTGTTGACATTTCGTTTTAGCGGAACGCTCGCGCAATAATAATAATTTGACGTGTTTCGTTTCAAGCGTGTCGCTTCTTTTTATACGTATATTTAACGTGTCGAGTTTCCGAAAGCAATTGATGAAAGATAAATCACGCCGGACGTCAGATATCTTTGTACAATAATATCCGAAAAGGATGTCAAAAGAGACTTGTCGTACTCTCGCAATTGACACGAGACACCTTCAATACTGTTGTCAAATTTCTCGACTTGATGAAACGGAAACGATACAAATATCTCCGGGGTTAAGAACCCGATTTCGCCGTTTTTGTCGCGCGGTCGATCAATTAATCCTTGCGAATTGTCCCGGAAACAAGAATATATTACAGAAACTTCCTAGGACACGCAGTACACTATAATTTCGCTGTTTCTTTCGCTTCGATTGAATCGGTTTGAATCGGTTTTGCAAAAATGTTTTCGAAAACAAGTCTTTAACCGTTTAACACGACTGATAGAAATCTAAACGACAATTATTGCTGAGAATCACAGCGGCGGTCTAATGATCTTCGGGGTCTTCGGCGTCTAAGATAGTTTTGAAATAAAACGGTTGAAACGGGTAGCCCCGGCCGTCGTAGAATTTGCTCATAAATTCCACCCTGGAAAAGGAAGACAGGAATGCATCATTGTTTACTCTCCTTTTTTTTTTTTTAATATTTAAAATCTAACATACAGTCGGTGTCCCAGTTTTTACCGGCATAACTTTGCCAGAGTGTTGTAGAAGCAAAAGTAAGAAAAAAAATGTTGTGTGAACATAATGTTTGCTCTCAAACGTTTCATTAAGGAGTTGTAACTAATAATACAAAATGATAATGAACGTAAGGACGTATTATGAATATTTATTTATGTTTACATAAACTCTTGTGTTTCCTTGCTGAAATGGTTGATATAGTCGTTGATTTCTGCTGAGCTAATAATGTTTGGTACCTCACTTTTCGCCACAGTCTCTTTTGGACTTCTTAGAAAACGAATTTGAGACAAAAGTAGAAGGAGATATTCTATTATTGCTTCGACGAAACTTGTGGATTCAATTAGACGGTTGTCCAATACATTACGCAGTACCAGTACGGTAATGGATAAATGACCATTATCCACAACGATGAATAGGTCGAGGAGGATCAATCTCATGGCCTCCAAGATCACCAGATATCAGGCCAATGGGTTTTTACGTGTGGGGAGTTACGTGAAAGCAAAAGTTTATGAAGCACAAATTAACTCGTGAGCAGTTAGTACAGAGGATTAATGACGCATTTGCTGCGATTAGAGAAACTGAAGAAGACATTAATAATACGATAGAGTCAATTTTGTTAGATACCAATCCTGTATTAACGTAATAACGGACGTCATTTTGAAATGTTATTACATTAAGAAGGTACATAAAATAAAATAAAACAACATATATATATATAATAAAATAAAATAATATATATATATATATATATATATAAAATAAAATAAAATAAAATAATATATATATATATATAAAATAAAATAAAATAAAATAAAATAATATATATATATAAAATAAAATAAAATAAAATAATATATATATAAAATAAAATAAAATAAAATAATATATATATATATATCTAAAATAAAATAAAATAAAATAAAAGAAAATAATATATATATATCTAAAATAAACTAAAATAAAATAAAAGAAAATAATATATATATATATATATATATATATATATATATATATATATATATATAATAAAATAAAATAAGGTCTACTGTTATTTTGCTTAGTTTTGTTAGTAAACACAGAGCTTCAATGAGATTACGTGAGTTTCTGTAACATTGATGATACGTTCGTACGCTGTGTCGACGAAACGCCAGTTCATTATCATTTTGTGTTATTAGTTATAACTCCTTGATAAAACATTATTTAAGAGTATATGTTCATGTAACATTTTTTTTTTTTCTTACGTTTGCTTGTAGAACACGCTGGCAAAGTTATGTCGGAAAAAACTGGGACATTGTGTATATATCTGAAAGTATTTGAGAGAGAAATATTAGTTTACTTTGCACTGTGATGATGTGATATCATCTGTGAAACTATTATGCATATTGTTACAGAACATCTTGTATTTGTTTGGTAACGTTTGGTGACATTGTAATTTTATATTAATTTGTATAACTTTACTTTTTTTATATTTTATATTTTTTATATTAATTTATATGATTTTATATTTCATTGCCATTCATCTGTAACTTACGACTTAGGTATACAAATCGATTGGAATGTAAAAAACAATATTCAAATGTAATGACATTCAAAAATATTCTCTTGTTCAAAACTGTTCAAGGTATTCATTTCAAAAAATGTTCAGGATTACAAAAACTGGATGACATAATACATTATGCAATAAAGTATCTGTATATATATGCACGTCATATATTATACAACATATAACATGTATAACATACGTACAAATATATATATATATATATACATTTATAGCGGCATTTATATATATTAATATATTAACAAAGTACAGGTGTAATTTAATAATTCTATTCTCCACGATAGATACCGCTATAAATATATATTAAAAATAAAGTGTTCCGAAACTTTTGAATGGGAATACGTACATGTATTGCACGAACTATACTTTCCTCTCCAATCACCGACAAATTAAAACTAACAGTTAAAAAAAAAAGACCAGTTTAAAAAAACAGTAAAAAAAAAAATTGTCAATGGTCGTTTTCTACGTACCAATGAAGCCGAAGGGTATGAAGGAAAGCTGAGAGCCCTTCCATCAGCACGAGGATGGAAATGGTGAAAAAGGCCCAAGCAGCGAAAACGCAAACTAACATAACGCTTCGTAGATAAAAGAAATCGGTAGGATCGCCGAAACCCTTCCTTAACACCATGCTCCACAATACTTCGGATAGTTGTCCATGGGCCAACGACAATGCCCACAGACGTAGATAAGAGGCAGTGTGTGATATTGTTGAGAGAACGTATTCTATAGTATGAATGGCCTGAAGTATCATGATTTCACCGAACGTTTCGACTTCGTGATGGTCAGTCGTTTCACTGTCGATGGCCGTATTATTTTGTAGACCCTCGGTTTGCAACTCGATGTCTTGCGATGGTGTCCCGTTGCCCTGAAACGAATGACACAACGCAGTGTAAGTCCAAGTATATCGTACTGATATTTTAATTTTTATATTTTTTACTTCTTTTTCTTTTTGTTTTTTATATTATTTTATTATTTCTATATTATTATATTATTTTATTATTTCTATATTATTATATTATTTTTATATTATCTTGCTATATTATTATATTATTTTTATATCATCTCACTATATTATTATATTATTTTTATATTACATTACTATATTATTATATTAGTTTTATATTACATTACTATATTATTATATTAGTTTTATATTACATTACTATATTATTATATAGTTTTAATATTATATTAATATATTATTATATTATTTTTATTACATTACTATATTATTATATTATTTTTATATTACATTATTATATTATTATATTATTTTTATATTATATTACTATATTATTATATTATTTTTATATTACTTTACTATATTATTATATTATTTTTATATTACATTACTATATTATTATATTATTTTTATATTACATTATCATATTATTATATTATATTTATATTATATTACTATATTATCATATTATTTTTTATTATATTATTTTACATTTCTCTTGCACTGGAATGTGCCACATACGTCGAGAATATCTGGCCCAAAATTGCAATATTTTCTCAGCTTTATATTGAAATATAACCCAGGCAAAACAAGTAATAAATTTACTACTTCTTCAGTAATTTCTATCCAGTGATATACCGATGAATTCAGAAAGAAGACTTATATTATTATTATTGTATACAGTTTTGGTCACTCGTTATGGTCCGCGAACCAGTTACCAGCGCAGGAGGCTAAAAATTCTGATCAGAATCGTTATCATTTTCACCAGTAAGTTTCTTAAAAGACGAGTTTGAACGCATGGTGTACTTCCTCGTTATCGATTTTTTCGAAAAATGATAGAAAAGTTGACTCACTTTTCCGATCGGTCTGAATTACAGTAAGTTTACGTTTATCGCGCGAATTTTCGCAAATTTCTTTTTAATTATAAACGTGTAAGCTTGAAATAATTTAAGTACTCTCTGTCTTTCGATTAATTCTCTCAATGAATGTTTGAGAAGCTCAAAGCAAAAGCCGTCTTGCTCTAACTTCGTACTCGCAGGAAATTCTCGTTAACTTTGCAATTGTTGGAACAATTTAATTACACGTTCTTTGTTTACTCATTTGACTGATCGATCGCGACACGATCTGTTTCCAAGGTTCAAAGAATTTCCATCGGATCTGAATAAACGCGTGAATTTTTGAATTTAACTTGCTCTTTTTTTTTTTTTGCTCACCACGATTCTTCTCTCCTGTCGTTTCTTCCTGAACAGGAAAAGAAGCGGCTTCCCGAAAAGCATCACCGGCACGCACAGAAGCGCGAGTCCGAAAAGCATTTTCTGAAGAATAAATTGACCCGGATACATGTAGGGTGAACAACTCTCCGTCGGCTGCTCCTCGCCCGCCAGTATCATGTTAATAAACGTAATCAAAACTGATGGTGCACACCCGGGGGTGTACCTTTCATCTGCAAAATATAGAAAAATGTTATCGTTGATTTCTTCGACCGAGCCACGAACTTGACACTGTGAATAGAATACACACCTTCCGAAGTAGCGTCATAGATGACCCATTTGACAAACATCAAAACTACCAGGTAGAAGAATAAGAAAACGAGGAAAAGTAACTGTGGCAAGAATTCGAGGAATAAGCTCGAGTATCTCTTGAAATTTCTGCGAGGAGAGCGATGAAAAACACAATTAATAACGTGTTCAGCGAAAAGCTGCCAGGGAGGTATGTGAAAATTGATTTCTATCGATCCTTTGATAAATTAAATTATTTTTAAATAATAATAATTATTTTTATAAAAATTATTTAATGAAAATTTATTTTTATAGAATAATTTTTGTAAAAATTATTTAATGAAAATTTATTTTTATAGAATAATTTTTGTAAAAATTATTTAATGAAAATTTATTTTTATAAAATAATTATTTTTATGAAAATTATTTAATGAAAAATTATTTTCGTAATAAAAATTATTTTTAAATAATATAGAAATAAAACAATGCTATCAGGGTGAAAAGTTACTCGACGAAAATTGTACTTTGCGATTTCTTTCTCTCGTGTGCATTTTTCAACTAACGGAAAACAAAATTACTTTCAATCGATACTTTCGGACGAAACAGAACAACGAAAAGCTTTGTTGCATTCCCGCATGTGAAAAAATACACTGTCGATGAAAGAAAAAAAAAAAAAAAAATAGAAGAAAAATGTAGAAAGAATTCGCTGTGAGACGGAAAATTGGCGACATTGCGTGCACAAAAGGAAACGGCCGTTGGAAAAACTTACGTAATGTTAACGACGCTCATGCACACGCCGAAGATCATGTGCACGACACCGAAGATGATCGACAGCTTCATTTTGTACGAATTCAAGAATATTATCTTGTTCTCGGCTAATATCCAGCCGGGATCCATGCCCATTGGATAAGGCGTTTGCACGTAATCCTCATTCGGCGTCAAAGTAAAATCGGTTACTTTGATATTCTCTAGGGCTGGCTTAAAGCGCGTTACGTTCCAACTAGACCCGAATATGTTTAATGGCTTTGAGAACAGGTCATTGTAGATGATGCCAGTGTAAATGGAAAACAAACCCATGAGAAGTATAATGTAACGGCCGGAGAAGAACATATTCCAAATTTCGGACGACGTCTTTCGCGCCAAGTGCTTCTTCTCCGTCGCGATCATATATACAGCGAACAGGGTCATGATAAAACCTGAGAACAGAAACAATAAGACATGTCGTCACACCTCGAACGTGTTAAATAACGAAGGACGAGAGTGCTTAGGCGATTCTACAGTGAGATAAAATAAATCGAAGAAAGGAAGCGTTTAAAGTTTCTCGAAAATAAATAGTCACCAAGTCGAATGAGGATCTCTACAATTAATTGCAGAATGAAGAGTATGATTGTACTGACGTAATAGAAAATTATCGACAATTTGAACTTCGTGAAGAAAGATCAGTACTTTGACAATCATGAGTTCGTTCTTTTTTTTTTTTTTTTTTTTTTTTTCGTAGCTGATTTTATTTTACAACGGGTGGGAAAATAGGGGTATCTTTTTCTTGAAAATTGTAATACGTTCAAAAATTACATTCAGTATCTAACATGATCTTGAAGATTGAAGTCTTTACAACCGTTTGAAACTTGAAACTTCAAGCAAAATTATGAATATTATTATATAAAAAAAATTATTAATCAAAGAAAGAAATTCATAATTCATTATTAAATTAACAATACGAATACAATAAGATAATTTCTATTATAGCATTTAATTAGGTGATATTTTAATCATATAATAATTATAGCACAATATAATAATAAATTATAATTGTAAATAATTATATATAATATAAATAAAATATTTATTTATAATATAAATATATATTTATAATAAATTATATATAATAATATACTTTATTACTATTATTATTATATATATTATATATATTATAATTTATCGTTTCGCATACGCTAAACAAAATTCTGAAATCCAATTCTGAAAGCCTTCGCTATTATCTCTCATTCAACTCTATTCAAGCCACCTCGTTCTATTGCTTTCGATTTATTCATTTTTCACACAGGAATCACCCATGCACCCATTGTTCCATAGATTGACTTGGGTACACTGAATAGATATTCCACTTTGCTAGATATTCACTTACCGTGTCCACAATCGCCAAACATGACGCTAAACAAGAATGGGAAAGTGATAATCGTGTATGGGGCTGGATTAGCTTCACGGTACGACGCCACGCCGTAAGCGTCGATCAAATTTTGGAACCCCCTGGTGAACTTGTTCGTCCTGTTAAACGTCGGAGGATTTTCGTTTGTGTGGATAACATTGAGGAAAGACGGTATCGTGCTACCGCACAGACGCTAAAGAAAGTAAAATATTAAACAGAACATTTTTATCACGAGCGAAGAGAAACGAGTGCTCTCGTTCACGAGAGAAAGAAAGAAAGGAAGAAAAAAAGAAAAAAGTGTCACGAGACGGGACAAAGAGCTTTGAAGTATTTAACCACTTGCGCTGGCAACTGACTGCGGACCATAACGAGTGACCAATACATTCGTCGTTTCCCTTTCGAACTCATTGAGAAGCGATAAATTTGTTTATCATTTATTTCTCTTTTTAATTATTTGTTTTGCCTGGATTATACTTAAATATATGTTTGAAACTAAGAAAATATTGCAATTTTGGGACACACAAAATTCCTGACGCACGTCATTCCAGCGCAGGAGGTTAAAAATCGAGCAATACAATCGAAAGAAAATAACAAAGAACTTTGTTGCATTTTTCTGTGTATGTTCGTGTTGTTAATTTTGAATAAATACACTGTTAACGAGCAGTAGTGTCCTCTCTCGTAAGAAATTGATGAATTTAGAAGAAAAGAAACAATAACGAAGAACTTTATTGCATTTCTGTGTGTTCATACTGCTACTTACGAATGAATGAAAAAAAAAAAAGAAGTACGAATTGGAAATTGCTAAAGATCAAGATCGATCGAACGACAAGTGTAGACTATAAGAAACAAGCATCATTTCAAAACAACCAACCGATCCTTCGTTAAGGCAGTCTCTGACAATGGTGAGATCCGCTATAGGTACCCAACATTCTCCTATAAGGCACTTTTTCGTCACGTCCATGTTGAATAGGTTCATCGTGTGATAAATTGCCTTCATCTTTCGCACCATGATTATCCAATTGGGCAATTCCTTGGCAACGTTATGTAGCACACGTTGACGATGATCTTGCGTTTGATTTAAAACCTACGAAATGAAAATACAGAGAGAGAGAGAGAGAGAGAGAGAGAGAGAGAAAGAGAGAATAACAAATTTGACTAAATTGATGTATAGATAATAATTAATTAAAAGTAAATTACTCTAGATTTATAGATGATAGATATTTATAATAAATAAAATAGATAAGATAATACATCTACAGATGATAAATCTTTATGGTTTTTTATATTTATATTTTATATATTTATATTATATTATATTTATGTTTTATACATTTATGTTATATTATATTTATATTTTATATATTTACGTTATATTATATTTATATTTTATATATTTACGTTATATTATATTTATATTTTATATATTTATGTTATATTACATTTATATTTTATATGTTTACGTTATATTATACTTATATTTTATATATTTATGTTATATTATATTTATATATATTATATTATATTTTCTTATATTTATATTTTATATTTATATCATTTTTTTATATTTATTTATATTTTATATTTATATTATATTATATTTTTTTATATTTATTTATATTTATTTATATTTTCCTCTATGAGAAAATTAAAGGGACTTAAATGCGCAGAACACGTGTAATATGCAAAAATGTAAAGTAAAGTACTTATTAAAAATTTTAATATGTGGATGAAACGAACGTCCACGTGAAATTATACCTTATTTTATACGTCTAGATTCTGTTCCTTTGAAGAATAAAAAGATTTTTTCATAAAAAATTAAAAAAATTATATGAAATATCCAAAATAAATTATTATATAAACAATATATTAAAATATATAAATATAAATAATATAATATAATATAAATATATATATAATATAATATAATACATATATTAATATATATATAATATAATATATATAATAATATAATATAAATGATATATTAAAATATATTAAAATATATTTACTAGAACTATAGTATCCGAAATGAAACAAATGTCTGCACGTCGTTCAAGCTCCATTTTTTTTAGAGAAGAAATGTTCAAAAACAATAAAACAACACGTTATTAAAATTGCGCAATTAATGTTATGTAATTTTCTTTTTTTTAACAGGTCCTTACCAGGTTCAAATCTTCGAGCCTCGTTCGAACGCCTTTGACCATTTCCTCGCGATCCGCGTGATTATGCGGACACGGGTATATAGACGCGTGGAAACCAGTGCAAACCTTCTTGATACGGCTCTTCAGCTGCTCCCCTTGGAAAAACGCGACGAACACCGTTTTAAAAATCTGATTACCCTGAAACAACAACCCACGGAACTCGTCTGTATTTGACAACTTTAAAATTCATCGGGAAACAGACACTTATTCGATTAGTTGTTGTTATTTCCATTTTTTGCCGACATTGACTATGACAAGGCTTGCCTCTATCGCGATTATCTCGTCGCGTTTATCTGACTTTCCTCGCGATTTTTCAACGATCGAGCGATAAAGTAGAAAGTTATTCTTTTCTTTCAATTAATAACAGAGATAAAGGCACAACGAGCAAGCAATAAAAAACACAAAGAGAACTAGGACAAATTACAAGTTCATCGTGAAAGAGATTATTTATGACTCGCAAAGGAACAGTACCTAATGAATCATATTACGACGATACTATCATTAAAGCCAAAGTATTAAGATTAAGATCTTACCAAATCCTTCGAATCCTTGCGTACGTGATTTTAGAGATAAGTATAAGAATGATGAAAATAGACATGACAGAAATTGCATATTAATAAGAACGAGGTTATAACGTCACAGTGAAAAATATACATATATATCTATATATAACCATCATTATAACGATCTTTTAAGAAGGCAAAGAAGATAAGAAGTGAACTAACAGTAGCTGGATCTTCTAATGGCTTATCGAGCTCAGCTTGACGTAGAAATACGTTTCCACGTGATATTCGCCACAGCATTCTCTCGAAAGACGGTACTCGTTCCCGGTTTATTACCCCAGCAACGAATCTATAAAAGAAAACGTTCGTCGAATAAAATACAAGATTGTACATAAATTCCTCCCGTCCTTCTGAATACTCAAACTGAATATCGAGTGCCGTAATATTAATTAGCTTCTTAATTGTTATATTTATATTTATATTTTTATTTTCATTTACATTTTTATTTTTATTTTTATTTTTATTTCTATTTTTATTTTTATTTCTATTTTTATTTTTATTTTTATTTTTATTTTTATAATAAAATATTTTATTTATTTGTATTCATTATAATTTTTTCAAGAAACTCGAAAATCTCTCAGTTATTCTTGGAACGTTTAGGAGCTTGTTCCCTTTCTCAATGTTCCCATTTTTAAGGAGCTACCACTGTCAATTAGGTATATTTTATATATATATATATAAAAGGTACCTTTTAATCTTTCAGAGACTACGTCTATTACAATTTCAACAAATTTCACAATTACGTATATAAAAATAAATCAGTATGTAACCATTTATTGCCATCGTTGAAAACCACAGAAATAATTGTTCAATCATTAATTTACGTAATTATTAATGTAATTTGAATCTACGAGAATCATTAAAAAATCTAAATCATCGACAACAAACGTCATCCTTAGAAGATTAGTAGCGATAGCAAGATAGGAAGATTAATAGCATATTATCACTGCGAATATTTGTGCAAATTCATTCAATTATTATAAACTTACGAAATATTCAAATGGAATAAGTACAAATAGAATTTTAAATTCACAAATAATTGAATAATATCACTAATCATAATATTATTATAATTATAACAATATTATATACTAATATTGTTATATACTGACATATTACCGTTATTATAATATTATATAATAATTTAATGTTCATTAAAATTTATTTTTTAATATTATAATATAATTTATTCATTATAGTAAAATTTATTTTTTAATATTATAATATAATATAATTCATTATAATAACATTATATAATTAAATTCGCACAAAAGTCCGCAGTCTAGTGATTTGTTATTAACCCTTACTCCATAAACAATCAGAATCATTTACGTCCGACATACATTTTAGCTGGCAAAAGTAAAGTCTCTAAAGAAATATATCTGAAAGGATTCACATATCATTTTGAAATCTCCTCGATTAGGAAATCAATGTAAAATGAGAAAAAACATCTTTAAAGAAAAAAGGAAAAGCTATGTATTAACCTGGGAGATATATATATATATATATATATATATATATATATATATACATACACGTGTAAATGCTCGGTTCACGGAGCAAGGGTTAAATTAAAGAACATACTCGAGACGTCCCCGACTTGACGCGCTTGGATTCTGTGCTTCCTCGTTAATTAGCGTCCTGGTGATCGAGTCATTGGCCTCTTCCTGTTGATATAGAAGAAGATACGAATCTTGATTCTTCTACAGAATGGTAACATCGATTACACGAAGGAGGACGACGCTATGAGCAAAAGCTGCTGAACTACTTTAGCTACCTCCGTGAAAAACACTTGAGTCTTCTCGAGCACATGCCGTAATTCCGTCAACTCGAGGTAGTTACTCTTCAGGTTCACCGCGTTTTGGCTCAGCTCTAATATGTCGTTCTCCGTTTCCTCGAGATGGGCCTGCAAACAAAAGTTTATCCATCTCGCTCTGACAATCTGACAAAACAACGAAGAAATTTAGGAAAATAATTACTACGAAATTAATATTACATTATATTATATTATTATAATATAATTACATAACTATAATATAATTAATTATAATAATATAATATATTACGTTTTATTGTTATAATATAATAATGTATATAACTATATGTATATAACTATAATATAATTAATAATAATAATAACATAATATAATACGTTTTATTGTTATAATGTAATATATTATAATAATATAATACATTACATTATATTATTATAATATAATTATATAACTATAATATAATTAATTATAATAATACAATATATTATATTATATTATTATAATATAATAATGTAATATATTATGTTATATTATTACAATATAATAATGTAATATATTATATTATTATAATATAATTATATAACTATAACATAATTAATTATAATAATATAATATATTATACTATATATTATATTATTATATTATAAATTAAAATAATTATTATAATTATCGTTCAATTAAAATAATTATCATTATTGTCATCCAAAATTTTCTTGCATTTCTGGCATACATTACTCATTCCTTCGTTCTTTTACAAGAAATAAATTTTAAATGATCAAAATTGTCGACCTTTATGTTATTATACAGAAGACTATGAACTATGAACAAAAGACTACAGAAGACTACGTGTAATATAGTTCGTTCATAATAAGAAATTTGAATAATTTGAAATAAAAAGAGATAGTAGACAAGGATAATAAAAGTTTATCAATTATACGAGTTCATATATTTGAGACTCAACGTTAACCGGTTTCTATAATGGAAGCTCTACCGTTATTTTCTCATTTCAATATTTTAAAATTATTAGAGCGTTTAAAATTACTAGAAGATTATAAATTTATTGAGTGAGAAACATAGAACAAATTAATAATACATTCAATATATATTAATATATATTATCCTCGTCGAAAATTCAACATCAATTTTTAATTCAGAGAATCTCTATGTGTGTTTTTAATAATTATGATGACGAGAATCTAAAATCAGTTGTACTTGGTAATTCTTGGTGCTCTAATAATTCCTAGTATATTTACTATATTTACTATACAGATAACAAAGAAAATTCATACCAATAAAATACGCAGAAAGAATTGCGAACCAATTCACTCGTATTACTTACAACTATTAGTTACTAATGTATTTCTAATGCAAAATTACATTGTTTCTATCTTGAAAAATAAACCATAAACTACAATTTCAGATGTGAATTTTCTTTGCTGTCTGAACACGTAGAATCACATCTTACAAATATCGCCCACTTTTCGTATTTGTCTTTGAGCTTCTTTCCTACGCTCTAAGTAGATTAACCTGTAATGGTCAGCCAAGTATTGCTGATAGATTGGCTCACGGAAATATTTGTATCTTTCACTTGTCAAACTTCTACGTATTTTTTATTTTAAAAATTAATGAAATTAAATTAATATAATTATAACATATAATATTTGAACATCAAGTGTTTAATAATATTAAACATTTAAAATCTAACTTTTCTAACAAGTTTCCTACTAAACTTAGTAATCGAAAGTTAGTAATTTAATAAACTTAATAAATTTTCTACAGTTATAAATTACAATATTTAACATATTAAAATTTAACTTTTCTAACAAGTTTCCTACTAAACTTAGTAATCAAAACTTAGTAATTTAATAAACTTAATAAATTTTCTGTAATTATAATTTACAATATTTAACATATTAAATATTAAATATTAAATATTAAATTTGTTTCCTATAAAATCTTAACGAAAGCAGTATCAAATCTACCACAGATGCAATTATAGTTAATTTAACACAATGTATAATTTGACACGATATATAAATATTTAACACAATGTACTTATGCACAAGATATTCAGAATTTTAATTTTAGTTTCAAGATTTCTCTATAATGAAAAAGGTGAGAATGTTAAACACAAGAGAAAAATGATCAAAGAAAACAATGATCTTACCTCGAGATCTATGATCATACGAGGATTCGGTGCCCGTGGTAGTTCCGTGAGGTCGTCAATGATCATCACTCCGTCCTTCTTCACTTCAGCCTCGATGTATCGAAGTTTTCGTTCCATTTCATCGCAACGGCGCACCTCGTTGACGAATTTTCGTTGAAAGTAGTTCAAATCGCCGTTGAGCTACGAGCGAATCAACAATAAACTTCAAGAACATTCTTTTATTCTGTTGTTCTTCTGCCTCATTGTACTATAGCTGTTTCTATTCTATTATAAAAATATTAATATAGTATACTATAATTACTGTAATATAATATACTGTAATTATACTATAATATAATATAATTATACTATTATACTATTATAATATACTATATTATACTATTATACTATCACAGTATACTATTACTTATACTGTAATATACTGTATTGTGCTATTATACTATTGTAATATACTGTATTATGCTATTATACTATTATAATATACTATATTATACTATTATACTATTATGCCATTATAAAATACTATATCATACTATTATACTATTGTAATATACTATATTATACTATTATACCATTATAAAATACTATATCATACTATTATACCATTATAATATACTATTACTATATTATTCTATTATACCATTATAATATACTATATTATACTATTATACTATTATAATATACTATGCTACACTATAGTATAATATAATTATTAAAAATTAATATTAATATACATAGTATAATATGTTATATATGTAATAATATGTTATATTATACTATGTATAGTTGTTCTTATTTTATTATTCTACAAACGTTCGTAAATTTGTATAAAATATTATTGTTTTTGAAAAAGAATTTCCATAATATTTATATATATATAAAACATATAAAATTTGCTGCATCGACAAACGTAATATTACGATGGAGTTGAACAACCTCGTTCACCTTGCAAACTCGGTATTATCGCATCCATCTACCAATGGCCAAGAATTGAAAGAAAAATTACATCGATAACTCAACTTACATCACGAAACTGGACCGTACCCGTTTCCCCGAGTTCGGAAACGGAAAGATAGGCTGCCTCTGGCTGAATGAACAGCTGGCAGAGGGCCATTTGCTCGCTCTTGAACAACCCCCCCATCCTGAATGCGAGTTACGTTTTATCCTGTAACAGAAGCAAATTCAGTCTCAGATGAAAAGTCAGTCGGGTGAAAATTTCCATTTTCGCGCAAGCCTACGTACGGAAAACAATTTTCATTCATCGTTCATTATGAGACAGATATGGATTTTTATGGATTTTCGATATTCTTACCAACTTGAATGGAAATTTATTTCATCTGGCAAATATTATAGTTAGACTATGATACGGTGGATTGCGGATGTAAGAAAATTATACAGAATGCAGAGAACATGAAAGAAACATGTGGCCAGAGAAAAATGTAATGTCAAATTATAACATTTGGTATGTGAAAAGAATTTTTCAGTTTACAGTCTAATTATGATAAATACTTCACTCTAGATATTCTATATGTATAGTATTCATTATTATATACGTTATATTATATACTATAGTATTTATTATTATATACTATGTATATTATATATTATAAATTTTATATATTATATACTATAGTATTTATTATTATACACGTTATATACTATAATATTATAACATATTGCTATATATTATATATAGTATAGTGTATTTTTCTATACGTTGTATTATTATATGACGTTTATTATTATATATTATAATATTCATTATTATATACGTTATATACTGTAATATCATACTATATTACAACACATTATAATATTATAGTATTAATATAATATTATAGTATATAATAGTGATTATAATATTATTATAGTATATATAGTATTATAATATTACAGTATATATGGTATTATTATAATATAATAGTATATAATAGTGATATTATAGTATATATTATAATATATTATAATATATTACTATATATTATATATAGTATAGTATTTTTATACGCACTATTTATATATATATATATATATATATATATATATATATATATATATATATATATATATATATACATACATATATACACTATGTATATTTTCCAAATTTACGTAAAGATCTACGTCTAATAATTATATCAAAAAATTTAGATCACACGTCGACAATGTCAGCAAAAATTATATCACATCTCAAACATTGTCATAAATAGTCAACTCGGGGAAATTAAAAGGAATTTTCTAATACATCCGAATCCTCAAGTGCTAATAACGTCATAATCGGTACCGCCATAAACACACATACAGTATTCAACATCGAGGTTTACAAACTAGCAATGATACTCAACTTTATTATCGTCATTATTATGTAGATAAGACGATGAAGTGTTGCGTGAAACTCTGCAATGAAACGTGATCTTATCGTGAAACGCGGTAGTAACAATGGTATCGCGTTGCAGTTACAAAATTCGCTTCGTGTTTTATGAACAATGGACTCAACAATTGACAACTTGGCCAAACATGAATCTGAACAGAATATAAGAAGCGCGAAATATACAAATAACATATATTTAAATTTATTGTAATTCATTTTGAATAAATTCATGATCAGCCAGAGCTATAATAATGTCACAGATACATGTTGTAATGTTAATAAAATTTTTCTTTAATCAGAAATTTGTCTCTAATATATAAGAATTTTAGTTTTAGAGCTTGAGAGTTGGAACGAATTTTTTCGACTCTTCTGACGCTATAGTAACGTCACAGATTTTTGTATAGTGTAAAATAAATTGTATATAGTTGCATTAAATATCGAGGTTTACTAATATATATTGCATAATAATAATAATAAAAAATTGTGTTGTAAAAATAAATAGTATATTGTATACAAATATATTATATTACATAAATATCTAAATATATCTGAATATATAATTACAAAAAAAATTTATATTATTTTATATTATTTTATATTATTTAAAATTATTATATTATTATTATTATTATATTATTTAAAATTATTATTTTATTTTGTATTATTTAATATTATTTAAAATTATATGAAAATAATTATTTAAGTAATTAAATAAAAATAATCATTTAAAAATTATATAAAATTGACATGAATTATACATGTATATTATAATTTAAAAAATATACATACGCGTCAATTATATTACATATGCATATAACATACGCAAGTGCGTAAATTATCAAATTTATTTCGAATTTTACTAATTTTACCGATCGTGATAATCATGTCCCACTATAAACACACTATATTATTCATAAAACTTCTTACATCTATTTTCACGATCATCCGTTTTAACATCCCAACATCACAGAAATGTACAATAATGAAAAGAACAAGTGTGTACAAAGTGAAAGATAAATAAAGAAATTATCTCCGCCAAATCATTTCGCTTAAACACAGATAAATCTCTTTTCATTAAAAGTCAATTCGAGTTACACGGTATCACAGAAGGTTAATCAAATTAAATCATCTCCCGTTCCGTACGAAACGAAACACTGCTTGCGAATCTACGTGCTACGCGTGTGTTGTTTCTCGTATATATAGATAAAAATACCTTTGGACAAACTGACACGTACAACAGGTTTATTAAGTCGTACCGATGACAACACGTACATCCAGACAATAGAGAATTTCGTCGCGAGTAAAGTACAAGTACGTGTATGCAAGCACAAGCTTGTAATTGCAATCTTATCGAGGAAATTCTCTCAGGCTCGAGCAGATTCTTCCCCGCTCCGTTTTTTTTATAAAGAGGGGGAAGAGGGAGGGGGGGGGGCAAGATATCGAGATAACCGGCACGAAGTGTTAACACGAAGTTAAATGAAACGTTCCCTCGAGTACATACAAATGTCGTATCGACATACTCGGGTTTTAAATTATATAGTCTAGTCTCTGACAGCGTAATTCCTTTTATCGGTCCTCCCGTTCGAATGGAAATACATACACGCCCGAAAATAGCACGAAACTCGGGGCAGGTTGCACAAATTAATTAATTAACGCTCCGATCCCCCAGAGTTCTCGTTTTCGCGTTTCGAGAACGAAAAGTTGTTCGTTTTTTCCTTCGACGCTGGCTTCATGACAATCTCGTTATTTCTCTTCATTTTTCTCTTTATTCTTGCATCTTATTCTTGCGTAGGATGATCGCCGAAAAACTGGATGATATAAAACAAAAATAACTTTACAAACACGTGTTTCTTCAACTGCTTTTTATTTTATTTGGAAAAATAATTGTAAATATTATTGTATAACAAGTATTATTTTATTTGGAAATATAATTGTAAATATTATTGTATAACAAGTATTATTTTATTTATTATTTTATATTACTTTATTTGGAAATATAATTGTAAATAAGTAGTATAATTGTAAATTATTGTATAATAAATATTACTTTATTTATAATTTTATATTATTTTATTTGGAAATGTTATTGTAAATATTATTGTACAATAAATATTATTTTATATCATTTTATTTGGAAATATAATTGTAAATATTATTGTACAATAAATGTTATTTTATATTATTCTATTTGGAAATATAATTGTAAATATTATTGTACAATAAATATTATTTTATATTATTTTATTTGGAAATGTTATTGTAAATATTATTGTACAATAAATATTATTTTATATTATTTTATTTGGAAATATAATTGTAAATATTATTGTACAATAAATGTTATTTTATATTATTCTATTTGGAAATATAATTGTAAATATTATTGTACAATAAATATTATTTTATATTATTTTATTTGGAAATATAATTGTAAACATTATGGTATAATAAATATTATTTTATATTATTTTATTTGGAAATATAATTGTAAATATTATTGTATAATAAATGTTATTTTATATATTATTTTATATTACTTTACTTGGAAATGTAATTAATGGATATAATTAATTTTTCTCAGTATTACGTGTAAAAAACATCCCTCAAATGACCACCATTTTGAAAATGAATAAGTCATGACCTTTTCAAACTCTTCAGTTTTTCAGTGGCCACATATAGCTATTAACCAATGTGTAGTTCAACTAATTTTTAGACGAAGCAAATAACACGCGTAATTAAAACGTTCAAGTGCAAGAAACCATCAGTGTAATGACTTTCATTTACAGAAAAGTAACATTGCAATTAAATTTTTATAATTCGGATTCTCTCGTTTTTCCAAGTGTTTATAAGTAACAACACGCACATTTGAGAAATCCAAAACTAAAATTGTTGCAGTAAAATTTCCATACCAAGAAACGCCAGAATTAATAATTAGTAATTAATAATTAATAATTAATAAAGTACTCTCACTTCCCGACATTTCGTTGCACCAGACCCTACAATTTAACGTTTAAAAACACGAATCTTTCATGTTCGTGAAAAAGTTTCTACCACCAACTTTCAAACGTTCTCAATCGTCAATTATCGTACGTAAGCAAGATCTGCGAAAATATGTATCCTCGATAAGTTAACGAAGCAACGTCCGGTGTTAATCGATCGTATCTGCGATAAAACGTGCTATCTGTTACGCGCATATTCGCAGGCAATTGTTACGAATGTGTATACGGATCGTATCGGTATTTGCTCGTGACGATAGGAAAAACACCCGACTTTCGTTCCGAGTTTTCGCGACTCGGTAGCTGGGCAGCTTGCGTGTGCGATCCAGCGTGATGAAGCTGAAGAGAAACGAGAAGGAGGCAACGGCAACGAGTACGCACGTACGTGTGTAAGAATAAAAGAATAAAAGAAAAAAAGAAGAAAAAGAAAACAGCCACGATTATTCTCCGCGCTGAGATAAGCATACAATCCGAGTGAGCACGAGGTGCAAGAATACTTACAGGTGTGTACACTTGGATGAACAAACACTCGTAAAGGGTCGTATAACGTGTACGTCGCTTGGATGTTTTTTTTATTTTATCAAACTGTGACGGAGCAATTAAAATTTCATTGGATAAATAGAACAAAAGGACGAAACGGGAATAAACAAAGTCGAAGTGAGTTAAATATTCTAGATGTTTAAGATAATTATTGTCACGAGGCTTCGTTATCATTACGAGTCGTTAACAATTGGTGGAATCAAAATTTTTATCAAACGAACGAGACAATCGATTTGGAAATAAGTTAAACTGGGAAAT